ATTTGAAGTTTCGTTTATTTTTGCTTGTCTCGTGCCAAACGGAATCTATAGATACATTTACTGTTGCATCATTCTTGCAGGAAATGAATGAACAGAACCTTGTATTCACGCTCAGAATATTTTGATAATGTCACTTTTATTTATCAGTGCCGTTTTCTGCTTTTCTTGCTCTCGAGTTGCGTTGTGTTACCTTGATTTCTTCATTTTGTTTTTGTGACGATACAACAAGATTATTTCCTGTCATTTGTCTGTCAGCTTCTCATGTTTTTCTTGATTGCCAATTGCAGCTAAGAAACCAGACGGAACAGCACCAGTGTTTTCTGAACCTCTTCAACCTGTGGAGGTGAAAGAAGGCAGCGAAGCCAAACTACAGTGCACTGTCGTAGCCGAACCTAAGCCTGACATCGAGTGGTTCAAGAAGGGAGTGCGCATAAAAGAGAACCGACGAGTGAAACTTGAAAGTGACGGTCAAACAGTTTCATTGACAATCAAAGAAACAAGATCAGGCGATGACGGAGAGTACAAGTGTGTGGCTACTAATGAGTTAGGTTCAGCTTCCTGTGCTGCTTCCATGACGATCAGGGTCGTAACTAAGCCAGACTTCAAGGATAAACTCAAGACAGTCGAGGTAATGGAGGGCGACACTGTTCAGTTTGATACTCGGGTTGTTGGGTACCCTGTGCCCGAGGTGGAGTGGTTAAGAGGAACAACCAAGCTGAAGAGCGATGAACGAACTGAGTTCAAAGAGAACCAAAAGGACAACCTACATTCGCTTGTATTAAGTGACGCTAAGCGGGAAGATGCTGGGATTTACAAGTGTGTGGCGTCAAATGAAGGAGGTAAGGAACAAGGCATTTCTTAAAACACGTTGTAGGGTTGAGTTTGATTACTGAAACACTGTCTGTCGTAGGGTTGGTTAAAACCGTTTGCTTGTCTCATGATGGCAACTTACTAAGTTGTTGGTAATTTAAAGAAATTCTCGCAGGGGACTGAAAGCGCTGAAGGATATTCTGAACTTCATGACTAATTTCTTGAAGTTTGTCTTTCGTAATGCATATCAGTCTTCCCCAATCTTAATCATCCTTGTAGTTATGTTTATTATGTTGGCAAAGGAGCGATGTCACGGATAGTGCATTCTAAACTTTCCAGGTTTCTCGTTCGCAATCCGTCTCAGTCTTTCCCAGTGTTTACCATCCTTGTTACTTACATATAGGGGATGTTGACATAATTATGTCAACTACATTTATTATGTTGGCAAAGGAACCATGTCACGGATGGTTCATTCTAATCTTTTCAGGTTTATCGTTTATAATCCGTCTCAATCTTCTTCAGTCTTGACCATCCTTGTTCCTTTGGATTTCGTAGTACTGTTCCTTTGACGTTTGGTTAGTTAAAGTGAATTAACACTAAGGGGTCCGTTTTAGTCACCTATTGGCTTGATACTTAAAATAATACCGTTAATTATCGTTAACCTTTTGACCAGGTAAGACCACATGCCGAGCCGACCTCATCGTGAAGGAGAGGCTGTTTGCTCCTGAAATATCTGAAGATCAGTTAGATGCCCCCATAACAGTGACCGAAGGTGGAGAGGTGAGCTTGGATGTAACAATCAATGGAAAACCCAAGCCTGATGTCAAATGGTACAAGGATGACAAACCCCTTCGTGAAAGCAACAGACTTGACATCAAGGCTCGTGGAGACAAACATTCTGTGGTGATTCTTGGCGTGAAGGCTGAAGACTCCGGAGTGTATAAGTGTGAAGCTAAAAGCAAGATGGGCACTGTTACCAGGACATTTGATGTCAGAGTTCAAGGTATGATTTAAATAGTAATTATCTATGTCTTGCGCCATTGTTTAGAGGTTAAAACGGCTCTAAAATAATTCTGCAAAGGGGTTTTTTAGATAAAAGAAAATTTTCATTTCAATTGGGGAATTCTTGGTAGTAGCCGACGGGGGATCTGGAATAAGATGTTAGTGATGAAATCTGAGAGTTGTAGATGCCTTTCCTTGCATTTTTCTACGTTTACCACGACCGTTAATAAGTTGATATTTAAAGACGGTTGTGAAATCTTGCTGTCTGCTTATCAATACATCAGATATGGTCAAAAACATACTTTGGTAGATTTTATGAGCGCACAGACTATGATATTTGTTGAACACCACTGACAGGAATTCTTTGACCATGGATTCCCGAAGAATCATTGTTTTACTTGTTGTGATTCCACCCTTTTAAAAATGACGGGACTTTCCATGAATTCCCTTCTGATGTCGATTATCACATTTTTCGGTCTTTCCTCAGCTGAGAAACCAACAGGAACTGCACCACAGTTTATTCAGCCCTTAGAATCAGTGGAGGTATCTGAAGGAGCAGCAGTTAAGCTGGCATGCACAGTGAAAGGAACCCCGCAACCAACCATCGAATGGTTCAAAGATGGCAAACTCCTTAAAACTAGCAAACGGATGAAAGGCGACTTCGATGGGAAAGTTGCTTCTCTGTCCTTCACCGAGGTAGATTTGGACGATGAAGGAGATTATAAGTGCGTTGCTCAGAATGAGCTGGGATCAGCGTCTTGCACGGCGGAGCTTCTCGTTAACGAGCCTGCTACTAAACCAGAGTTTACCGAAGCGATGAAAGACATTGAGGTGGCTGAAGACGAAGAGGGAAGGTTTGATGTGCGTGTGTCAGGCAGTCCTAGTCCAACCCTGCAGTGGTTCAAAGGAACTAAGAAAATCGAGGACGCTGGAAAGTTTCTTTTGATTGACGATGAAGAAGATGACCTCTTCTCACTTGTTATCGACAAAGTGGCTCCAGACGATGTTGGTACATACACCTGCAAAGCCAATAACGAAGCTGGAGAAGTGTCCTGCAAAGCGGAGCTTAAACTACAAGAGGAAATGGCAGCTCCTGAGTTTGGTGATGAGGGGGAGACAGGCCCCATCACTGCTGTCGAAGGTGGCGAGGTGACGCTTAATGTGACAGTGAAGGGAAAACCACGCCCAGATGTTGAATGGTTCAAGGATGACAAGCCCCTGAGGAAGACAAGTCGTGTCGACATCAAGTCACGAGGGGATAAGTTTTCCGCTGTTCTCATGAATGTCACTCCAGATGATTCTGGCTTGTACAAGTGCGTGGCCAGCAGCAAGGCAGGAAGTGTTACAAGGACATTTGAAGTCAACATCGAAGGTATGTTTGCAATGTGCTTCACCGTAGTCACGCGATCAAGTTTATCTTCTGTTTAGCCGGCTTCCTTTTGGAATGGACGAAGCATGGGAGTAGCGTAAATAAGGAAAAAGAGGTGGCAGTCATAGTCACATCAATCTGTATTAATTGGGTTATGTCACGCTGCTAAGGAGTACCTTTACCGATGTCAATTCTTGGAGATCTTAACCAAGATCATTAACCCTCTTTAATAGAACAGTTGGTCCGTAAATGTACATAGGGCACACATTATCGTATTATAGATAGCGCGTGCTAGGTGTAATTAGAAAAAGAAACCTGAAGACTTAATTAGGAAGATATATAACACTGACAGAATAATTGTTGTGAAATCATTTAGTTTGGCATACAGCGGTTTTCAATTGAGTGTCGTAAAACGAAAACCAAAGTAATCACTCTAGCCAATCACAAAGGACACAGACGATGCAGTGAACCAATCAAAACACGAAGTAATTACTTGTAACTGACGCGAGCGAACAAGTCACGATTGGTTTTGGTTTTACTTCTGATTGGATGAAAAAGTGGCGCGAGTTTTTTAAGCAAATCGTGTAGCCAAGTGACGTAAGACCAATTACTTTTCGATACTCAAGTGAAAACCGCTCGAAATGCACTAGTAGTGCAAGTACTAGTAACAACGTTGCAGGGCTTCTGAGATCTACAGTTTTCACCATGCTAGCATCTGTCTGTTAGGACTCTAATACAATTTACCTAATTTTCTTTCAGGCAAAAAGGCAAAGAAACCAAAGGGAGTAGCCCCACAGTTTACGCAGCCGTTAAAGGCAATAGAGGTTGTGGAGGGTAACCCTGTGAGATTAAAATGTCGCATGACAGGCACGCCCGAACCAACAGCAGAATGGTTTAAAAACGGAACACCAGTTCAGCTTAGTCGAAGGATCAAAGCTGATATCATAGGCGACATGTGCCAGCTGTCATTCACTGAAACGAACACAGATGACAGTGGAGACTACAAATGTGTGGTTAAAAACGATCTCGGATCAGCGTCTACTGAAGGAGAACTTCTCGTAACTAAACCCATTGTGGCGCCCGAATTTAACGAAAAACTGAAAAGTATGCAAGTCAGCGAAGGCGAGCCAGCTCAGTTTGATGTGCGAGTCTCTGGAAATCCCGAGCCAAACATCGCATGGTTCCGTGGAACTCAAGCAATCAAAAACGAAGGAAGATTTACGGTTAAAACTGGGGAAGGAGATGAACAACACTCTTTGATTATCGATGAAACAACTTTAGACGATGCTGGGACTTACAAATGTGTTGCTTCTAACGAGGCAGGAAAAGCAACCTGCCGTGGAGAATTAGACGTTAATGAAAAACTAACAGCTCCAGAATTTACTGATGAACTCAGTGAAGCTCCTATAAAATTTAAAGAAGGAGACGAGGTTTCTTTAGAGGTCACAATTCGAGGAAAACCTGCTCCAGACGTCCAGTGGTACAAAGATGAACTTAATGTGAGAAAGTCGTCGAATATTACCACACTGGTTAAAGGAGATAAATACACACTTCTAATTTATAGCGCCAAACCGGCTGATTCTGGAGTGTACAAGTGCGAGGCGAAAAGTAAAATGGGATCAGCAACGCGGACGTTTACGACTGAAATAGAAGGTAAGCAAGAGAAGAGACTTATGTAGTTTGAACGTAAGAGAGCCTTTTTCAAATTGGTTGGATAATCAAATGTTGACGAGTGAAAGAAGGAAATAATTTCACGCGCGTTTTGTCAAAATTCTTGTAACTTTTAAACTCTTGACAAAACGTTAGNTAGTTATCGAAGATGCCAAACCATCTGACAATGGAGAGTATGAGTGCATTGCTTTCAATGAATTTGGTGAAGTTTCATGCAAGGGAAACTTAGTTGTTGAAGAAACAATTATCGCGCCCGAGATTGCTGAGGACGCTGAAAGTGCACTGCCTCTATTTGAGGACATCACCATTGCACCAGAGTTTGCTGAGGAGGAGGAGAGTGCACCTGTAGTCATAGAGGAAGGCGGAGATGTTACTCTATGTGTGAACGTCAAGGGACAGCCAACACCAGAGGTAGAATGGTCCAAGGATGGAAAGGACCTCAAGGCCAGTGGTCGCTTGGAAGTTGGTGAGATGAATGGTAAACACACGCTTTTAATTAAGGGTGCTACCCCTGAAGACTCCGGTATTTTCAAGTGTCAGGCTAGCAGTAAAGGAGGTGTTGCAGAAAGAACCTTCGATGTGCAAGTGAAAGGTAAAGATACTTGTGAGAATAGCTTGAAGGGTCTATGATTGTTGTTAGGCCTTTCTTGCGTTGTACAGGAGCTTTTCAAGTACGTTAACATTAACATTTGAAGTTTCGTTTATTTTTGCTTGTCTCGTGCCAAACGGAATCTATAGATACATTTACTGTTGCATCATTCTTGCAGGAAATGAATGAACAGAACCTTGTATTCACGCTCAGAATATTTTGATAATGTCACTTTTATTTATCAGTGCCGTTTTCTGCTTTTCTTGCTCTCGAGTTGCGTTGTGTTACCTTGATTTCTTCATTTTGTTTTTGTGACGATACAACAAGATTATTTCCTGTCATTTGTCTGTCAGCTTCTCATGTTTTTCTTGATTGCCAATTGCAGCTAAGAAACCAGACGGAACAGCACCAGTGTTTTCTGAACCTCTTCAACCTGTGGAGGTGAAAGAAGGCAGCGAAGCCAAACTACAGTGCACTGTCGTAGCCGAACCTAAGCCTGACATCGAGTGGTTCAAGAAGGGAGTGCGCATAAAAGAGAACCGACGAGTGAAACTTGAAAGTGACGGTCAAACAGTTTCATTGACAATCAAAGAAACAAGATCAGGCGATGACGGAGAGTACAAGTGTGTGGCTACTAATGAGTTAGGTTCAGCTTCCTGTGCTGCTTCCATGACGATCAGGGTCGTAACTAAGCCAGACTTCAAGGATAAACTCAAGACAGTCGAGGTAATGGAGGGCGACACTGTTCAGTTTGATACTCGGGTTGTTGGGTACCCTGTGCCCGAGGTGGAGTGGTTAAGAGGAACAACCAAGCTGAAGAGCGATGAACGAACTGAGTTCAAAGAGAACCAAAAGGACAACCTACATTCGCTTGTATTAAGTGACGCTAAGCGGGAAGATGCTGGGATTTACAAGTGTGTGGCGTCAAATGAAGGAGGTAAGGAACAAGGCATTTCTTAAAACACGTTGTAGGGTTGAGTTTGATTACTGAAACACTGTCTGTCGTAGGGTTGGTTAAAACCGTTTGCTTGTCTCATGATGGCAACTTACTAAGTTGTTGGTAATTTAAAGAAATTCTCGCAGGGGACTGAAAGCGCTGAAGGATATTCTGAACTTCATGACTAATTTCTTGAAGTTTGTCTTTCGTAATGCATATCAGTCTTCCCCAATCTTAATCATCCTTGTAGTTATGTTTATTATGTTGGCAAAGGAGCGATGTCACGGATAGTGCATTCTAAACTTTCCAGGTTTCTCGTTCGCAATCCGTCTCAGTCTTTCCCAGTGTTTACCATCCTTGTTACTTACATATAGGGGATGTTGACATAATTATGTCAACTACATTTATTATGTTGGCAAAGGAACCATGTCACGGATGGTTCATTCTAATCTTTTCAGGTTTATCGTTTATAATCCGTCTCAATCTTCTTCAGTCTTGACCATCCTTGTTCCTTTGGATTTCGTAGTACTGTTCCTTTGACGTTTGGTTAGTTAAAGTGAATTAACACTAAGGGGTCCGTTTTAGTCACCTATTGGCTTGATACTTAAAATAATACCGTTAATTATCGTTAACCTTTTGACCAGGTAAGACCACATGCCGAGCCGACCTCATCGTGAAGGAGAGGCTGTTTGCTCCTGAAATATCTGAAGATCAGTTAGATGCCCCCATAACAGTGACCGAAGGTGGAGAGGTGAGCTTGGATGTAACAATCAATGGAAAACCCAAGCCTGATGTCAAATGGTACAAGGATGACAAACCCCTTCGTGAAAGCAACAGACTTGACATCAAGGCTCGTGGAGACAAACATTCTGTGGTGATTCTTGGCGTGAAGGCTGAAGACTCCGGAGTGTATAAGTGTGAAGCTAAAAGCAAGATGGGCACTGTTACCAGGACATTTGATGTCAGAGTTCAAGGTATGATTTAAATAGTAATTATCTATGTCTTGCGCCATTGTTTAGAGGTTAAAACGGCTCTAAAATAATTCTGCAAAGGGGTTTTTTAGATAAAAGAAAATTTTCATTTCAATTGGGGAATTCTTGGTAGTAGCCGACGGGGGATCTGGAATAAGATGTTAGTGATGAAATCTGAGAGTTGTAGATGCCTTTCCTTGCATTTTTCTACGTTTACCACGACCGTTAATAAGTTGATATTTAAAGACGGTTGTGAAATCTTGCTGTCTGCTTATCAATACATCAGATATGGTCAAAAACATACTTTGGTAGATTTTATGAGCGCACAGACTATGATATTTGTTGAACACCACTGACAGGAATTCTTTGACCATGGATTCCCGAAGAATCATTGTTTTACTTGTTGTGATTCCACCCTTTTAAAAATGACGGGACTTTCCATGAATTCCCTTCTGATGTCGATTATCACATTTTTCGGTCTTTCCTCAGCTGAGAAACCAACAGGAACTGCACCACAGTTTATTCAGCCCTTAGAATCAGTGGAGGTATCTGAAGGAGCAGCAGTTAAGCTGGCATGCACAGTGAAAGGAACCCCGCAACCAACCATCGAATGGTTCAAAGATGGCAAACTCCTTAAAACTAGCAAACGGATGAAAGGCGACTTCGATGGGAAAGTTGCTTCTCTGTCCTTCACCGAGGTAGATTTGGACGATGAAGGAGATTATAAGTGCGTTGCTCAGAATGAGCTGGGATCAGCGTCTTGCACGGCGGAGCTTCTCGTTAACGAGCCTGCTACTAAACCAGAGTTTACCGAAGCGATGAAAGACATTGAGGTGGCTGAAGACGAAGAGGGAAGGTTTGATGTGCGTGTGTCAGGCAGTCCTAGTCCAACCCTGCAGTGGTTCAAAGGAACTAAGAAAATCGAGGACGCTGGAAAGTTTCTTTTGATTGACGATGAAGAAGATGACCTCTTCTCACTTGTTATCGACAAAGTGGCTCCAGACGATGTTGGTACATACACCTGCAAAGCCAATAACGAAGCTGGAGAAGTGTCCTGCAAAGCGGAGCTTAAACTACAAGAGGAAATGGCAGCTCCTGAGTTTGGTGATGAGGGGGAGACAGGCCCCATCACTGCTGTCGAAGGTGGCGAGGTGACGCTTAATGTGACAGTGAAGGGAAAACCACGCCCAGATGTTGAATGGTTCAAGGATGACAAGCCCCTGAGGAAGACAAGTCGTGTCGACATCAAGTCACGAGGGGATAAGTTTTCCGCTGTTCTCATGAATGTCACTCCAGATGATTCTGGCTTGTACAAGTGCGTGGCCAGCAGCAAGGCAGGAAGTGTTACAAGGACATTTGAAGTCAACATCGAAGGTATGTTTGCAATGTGCTTCACCGTAGTCACGCGATCAAGTTTATCTTCTGTTTAGCCGGCTTCCTTTTGGAATGGACGAAGCATGGGAGTAGCGTAAATAAGGAAAAAGAGGTGGCAGTCATAGTCACATCAATCTGTATTAATTGGGTTATGTCACGCTGCTAAGGAGTACCTTTACCGATGTCAATTCTTGGAGATCTTAACCAAGATCATTAACCCTCTTTAATAGAACAGTTGGTCCGTAAATGTACATAGGGCACACATTATCGTATTATAGATAGCGCGTGCTAGGTGTAATTAGAAAAAGAAACCTGAAGACTTAATTAGGAAGATATATAACACTGACAGAATAATTGTTGTGAAATCATTTAGTTTGGCATACAGCGGTTTTCAATTGAGTGTCGTAAAACGAAAACCAAAGTAATCACTCTAGCCAATCACAAAGGACACAGACGATGCAGTGAACCAATCAAAACACGAAGTAATTACTTGTAACTGACGCGAGCGAACAAGTCACGATTGGTTTTGGTTTTACTTCTGATTGGATGAAAAAGTGGCGCGAGTTTTTTAAGCAAATCGTGTAGCCAAGTGACGTAAGACCAATTACTTTTCGATACTCAAGTGAAAACCGCTCGAAATGCACTAGTAGTGCAAGTACTAGTAACAACGTTGCAGGGCTTCTGAGATCTACAGTTTTCACCATGCTAGCATCTGTCTGTTAGGACTCTAATACAATTTACCTAATTTTCTTTCAGGCAAAAAGGCAAAGAAACCAAAGGGAGTAGCCCCACAGTTTACGCAGCCGTTAAAGGCAATAGAGGTTGTGGAGGGTAACCCTGTGAGATTAAAATGTCGCATGACAGGCACGCCCGAACCAACAGCAGAATGGTTTAAAAACGGAACACCAGTTCAGCTTAGTCGAAGGATCAAAGCTGATATCATAGGCGACATGTGCCAGCTGTCATTCACTGAAACGAACACAGATGACAGTGGAGACTACAAATGTGTGGTTAAAAACGATCTCGGATCAGCGTCTACTGAAGGAGAACTTCTCGTAACTAAACCCATTGTGGCGCCCGAATTTAACGAAAAACTGAAAAGTATGCAAGTCAGCGAAGGCGAGCCAGCTCAGTTTGATGTGCGAGTCTCTGGAAATCCCGAGCCAAACATCGCATGGTTCCGTGGAACTCAAGCAATCAAAAACGAAGGAAGATTTACGGTTAAAACTGGGGAAGGAGATGAACAACACTCTTTGATTATCGATGAAACAACTTTAGACGATGCTGGGACTTACAAATGTGTTGCTTCTAACGAGGCAGGAAAAGCAACCTGCCGTGGAGAATTAGACGTTAATGAAAAACTAACAGCTCCAGAATTTACTGATGAACTCAGTGAAGCTCCTATAAAATTTAAAGAAGGAGACGAGGTTTCTTTAGAGGTCACAATTCGAGGAAAACCTGCTCCAGACGTCCAGTGGTACAAAGATGAACTTAATGTGAGAAAGTCGTCGAATATTACCACACTGGTTAAAGGAGATAAATACACACTTCTAATTTATAGCGCCAAACCGGCTGATTCTGGAGTGTACAAGTGCGAGGCGAAAAGTAAAATGGGATCAGCAACGCGGACGTTTACGACTGAAATAGAAGGTAAGCAAGAGAAGAGACTTATGTAGTTTGAACGTAAGAGAGCCTTTTTCAAATTGGTTGGATAATCAAATGTTGACGAGTGAAAGAAGGAAATAATTTCACGCGCGTTTTGTCAAAATTCTTGTAACTTTTAAACTCTTGACAAAACGTTAGTGAAATTATCTCCTTATTTTACGAGTACACCATTTGATTACCTTTCAATATCATTGGTGTCAAATAACGCTCACAATCGCGGGCTTTTGCCTTGTTTATTGTATCGAGAAATTTCTCGCCAAACGTTGCCATGGCGATTGTGTAATTTTGAATTAAGGAGTACTTTGTCACCCATGATATTAGTCATAATATGTTTGAAATTTCCTGACTAAATGCTTTTGACATACTGATGTTTCTTTCTGGAAGTGTTGCAAGACTCGGGAAATTATTTTCGTTTAATAACCGTACATCGTAGGCTATATAGCGTGTGGGTACCATGTGACTCTGTTTATTCTTAGTTACATAATACTGTTCCTGATTCATCCTACGTTGTCTGGAGTTTGGCCAGATAGAAGATAATTTACGTCAATTGCGTTATGTGTTCTACCCTTTAAAACAGCTAAGAAACCTAAAGGAACGGCACCAGAGTTTTTCAAGCCTCTCAGGAAAGTAGAAGTAGTTGAAGGTAGAGCAGCCAAGTTAGAATGTTGGGTTCATGGAAAACCAGAGCCTAGCATTGAATGGTTTAAGGACGATGAACCCGTGAAATCAAGCAAACGAATCAAGACTTATTTCGACTCTGAAGTCTGCAGACTGACAATTTCTGACACTGTTGCTGACGACGAAGGCGAGTATAAATGTGTGGCGACAAATGAACATGGTACTGCCTCTTGTTCAGCAGAGCTTCTTGTAAATGAAGCCATTGTCATGCCGGAGTTTAAAGAGAAGATGAAACACATTGAAGTTATGGAGGGCGATACGGCGCGCTTTGATGTCCAGGTGTTGGGTAACCCAAAACCTGTAACTGAATGGTCAAAGGGTGGAAAAGTCATCACTGACGGAGGTAGGTTTAAAACGGTACAGTCCGACGACGGAGATTCACATTCGCTTTTAATTGAGAATGTGTCGATGGATGACTTCGGAAGCTACAAGTGCGTGGCGTCAAACGAGGCTGGAAGAATGCAGTGTTCTGCTCGACTTGAAGTAAAAGAGAGACAAATTGCGCCAGAGTTCTCTGATGAACACGGCGATTTACCCATAGAGATTAACGAAGGCGACGAACTTAAGATTAATGTTACTATTCAAGGGAATCCGAGACCAGACGTGGAATGGTACAAGGATGATAGACTGTTAAAAAGAACTAGTCGCGTGAACTTATCAGCTCGAGGAAATAAATTTGGTGTTACAATCTTTTCTGTTGTCCCTGAAGACTCGGGAGTTTACAAGTGTGTTGCAAAGAGTGCTGCAGGTACAACGACAAAGACCTTCCAAGTTAATATCGAAGGTAAGTTATCTTCTGTTTGTCTTGTGTTGACGAGAGTTTTAATGTCCTGCTTGATTAGCTTGTTCACATACAATTGCTCTTTGTTGAGTTAAAGATATTTGCGATGTATCGTAACTTAGGAGAGGTTTGAGAACCTGGTCTCAAGTCTCTGTCCTTATCTCGTGTTGTTTGGCAAAGTACTTTTCCCACGGTACCCAGGTGGTTTGAATGAGTATTTGTGAATTAAATCACGGACAAAAATGTCGACCTATGATGGATGAAGGGCTTATCAGGAGGGAGGTGATACTCTTAAGGTTCATCGTGCTACAGAAAGCGAAACAGAGTTCTAGTAGTTGTGGGCTACTAGACCCAATGACTTACCTTCCTTTTAAAAGAAAAACACAGATCTGAAGACAGAATGTTTATTTATTTTGTAGGCAAGAAACCTGCACCAAAATTCACTCAACCTTTAGAGGAAACACAAGCTACTGTTGGCGGTACAGCGACACTAAAATGTCGTCTAAATGCAACAGCTAAACCGAACATTGAATGGACCAAGAATGGCCGACCTATAGACGAAAGTCGAAGGGTTCAAATGGAGTCTGATGGAGAGCTGTGTTCTCTTGTTATCTCGGACGTCAGACCTGAAGACAGTGGGGAATACCAGTGCACAGCCAAGAACAAGATTGGAACAGCTTCATGCAGAACACGTCTTGTTGTAAGTGAATCCGCGAGTAAACCGGAGTTTAAGACAAGGATGGAGGATGTGGAAATTGTAGAGGGCGATGAAGCGGTGTTTGAAGTTTCGGTTACCGCCAAACCCTCGCCCGAAGTACAATGGTACTTAAGAAAAATGCTGTTAAAGAACGAAGGGAAGTACACCATGGATGAAGACTCCGAAAGGCAGAGGTATTCGCTTACTGTTGGTGACTGCCGACGAGAAGACAGTGGCCAATACAGGTGTGAAGTGAGAAACACTGCAGGTGAAGTCACTTGCGCAGCAGAGCTTAAGGTCAGTGACAAACAATTTGCTCCCACGTTTGTCCAAGGTACGGAAGAGCAGCTGTTTGAGGTGTGGGAGGGTGCCCCGGTGAAGCTCGTTGTTCAAGCGAAAGGCAAACCTACGCCGCAAGTTGAGTGGTTTAAAGAAAATCGTCTTGCTAGGCGAGTGAAGCGAGTCGAGCTACAGATGGAGGGAGACAAAAACATTCTGTTGATTCCCAAGGCGGTGCCGGAAGATTCAGGAAATTACCGAGTTGAGGCTACAAACCCTGCTGGGACAGCTGTGAAGCCATTCATTGTCAAAGTCAATGGTAGGTTTCTTGGCTTAGGGGAGCTCAGTAACGGAATTTTGAGTTATTTTGACCACGACGTACAAAAGTACCCTTAAATTGAAGAAAATCTGAAAATAATAGTTTACAAAGATAGAATAACACCAACGAAATAATATTAAACCATGAAGGAACAAGGATGGTTAAGGATTGAAAAGATTATCACGGATTACACAACGACGAACTTGATAATTTTAAGCTAGACTTTCAAGGTGCGCAAACCGTGATATAGCTCCTTAAACGTTCTCTAATCTACACGAGTAAGAAAAAACAACTTCGATGTACAGAAAATCGCACTTCGTTTTTCTCGGAAAGACAAAAAGCAGCTTATGTTTAAATAGGGCTTTATTGAACTTAGTTGCCTTGAGGAAAAAGGCCGCAAGTTTAGCCTGCCCATAACATCTTTTTACAAATTGTAACGGTTGAGTTTTCGCAAATGAAATTTTGCTTCTTTTTAATTCACAGCTCAGAAGCTTGTATTGAGACGTGAACCGGTTCCTGCTGGGGCTGTGAAACCCGAGTTCATCCAAAGAATCCAGGACGTCGAGATCGTAGAAGGAAGTGCTGCTAAGTTTGATGTTCGTGTGAAAGGTAATTCTTCTTTAATAAGTAGATTTTACTTTTCTCAGTATGCTTGTGTGAACAAGAACAAGAAAAAAGTGCACTGTACGGACTATTTTACGGAGGTTCGTTTGAGAATGTTGGTCTGAAACTTTAATTTGAGTGCAGTGTTCATTCGGGTATTGTTAAAACAATGTATCTGAAATTCCCACTTGGGAAAAAGTGGTAAACAATGTGCTAGTGATATGGCAGCAGGAGCAACAGCAGAGTCATAGGTGAAAGTAGCAGCAACAAAAGCGAATTTTCACAGGTTTCAACTTGGGAACAGTCGGTATAAAATCCATGTTCCAGTGAAGACTACTAGATCAAACAACAGCAATGATGGCAACACAAGCGTAGAAACACGGTCACCAATAAAATCGTCAAAGTTGTCACAATTATGTATTTAACCATGGAAAGATAAATTATGACTGCTTTGTTTGTTTGGAGTTTTTCTTTGTGACAGAAAGTTTTTTCCTTTGTGTATTTATCCAGGAACTCCCGAGCCCGAGGTTGACTGGTACAAGGACAACCGAGTGATCCGCGAGGGTGGACGGATCAAGTTCACATTTGAAGATGACGGCTTGTGTTCACTACTGATCAGAGAAGCAGAGCATTCTGACCGAGGACGCTACAAGTGTGTAGCAAGTAATCCAGCTGGAAAAGCTCAATGCAGCGCGGAGCTGTTCATAGAGAGTAAGTATCGTTTTGCCATGCCCTCTCTCCTAACCAAGCGCCAAAACCCATCTCGCCTATGGTACAAACAAAGAGAATTTGACCTTGTACGAAGGCGTTTTGTTTGATCATTTGCTTTATGGTGAATGACAAACTTGAGAGATTAGTAGGCTATATTTTTATGGGAGCCATCCGAGGACAGATTCCTTAATCTGCTTTGTGATTACAAACGGTAACGTCATTTAAACGCCGTCCCGCGATTAACTGCGGTTTCAAATAGACGCCATGTTCACAACACCGAGTTGAAGCAAACATCCATGGCGTGTAGTCGAGAAAATACGGTATATTTCCCAGCTCAAACTTTATACTCTACTTAGTCATGCTGTCATAACGAGTATATAGATTTAGCATATAAATTTAATTTCCTTTATTTCCTTCTTGTTTTACAGGTCATGGTTTCGATTCTGCAAGTGGGTCAGAATATGAGAGGCGTCTTTCTCGGTAAGTGAATATTTAAATTTCGTTGAATAATGTGGCAGTTAATTCTCTTCATTCTCCTTTGTTTTCAAAGCACGAAAACGGTCAGTTGAATGAAACATGACTTACTATAAACGGGAAAGTTTTGTTATTTTGTGGAAACGAAATAACTAAATATTTATTGCAAATGCCCTTTTTGTTTCCAGCGAGTCGACATTTGACATGCTGTCAGATGACACTGAAGATGAAGTCGACGCCGAATCCTCTGGCCCACCCAAGCTCCCCCCGGACATCACGCTTGTGTTACGCAACCGTGACGTAAAGGAAGGTGGCGTGACAAAGTTTGCGTGTCGCGTGGTGAGCAGTAGCGCCTTGACAGCTGAGTGGTACAAAGATGAAAAACTTGTCAGTAAATGGCCTCGTTTTACCTCTGAACGTGACGAGGATCTTTTTGCTCTGACCATCTCGGACGCCAAGAGGACAGATGCAGGGCACATTCGATTTGTGGCACGAAATGAGTTTGGTCAGGTGGAGAGCAATGCTTACCTCAATGTTGAACGTGAGTAAAACCAACCTTAATTGTTAGTCTCAAACAATGCGACATCGTGGTTTTATCTTTTAAATCTGTGGATGAAAACCTAGTGTGTGACCATTCAAGTGAAGCTATCGAGCAGTCCTTTCATGTGGTACTGTTTATTATGCCGTACATGGTGGTTCTAACTTTTTAGTCTGTGGATGAAACCCTAGTGTGAAAGCTACTGAGCAGTTCTTTCATGTGGTACTGTTTATTATCCTGTACAAGGTGGTTGTAACTTTTAAGTCTGTGGATGTAACCCCCGTGTGTGACCATTCTAATGAAAGCTTTTGAGCATTACTTCCATGCGGTGATATTCATTTTAGAGTGTTTTACGAATTCAATTTTGACATTTTGAACAAAAATTGTTCTTTTTCCAGCTGATATGGAGCCCGAGTTTGAAGGAACAACACCAAAGTTTACCCAGAAGCTCCAAGACGTCGACGCAGTATCTGGGAAAACCGCGAGATTGGAGTGCCGTGTAATTGGCGACCCTCGCCCAGACATCCGGTGGTACAGAGAAAACGAACCCCTGCTTGAGGGCGGAAGATACAAGTTTGAGGATGATGATGACTGGCAGGTGCTTGTTATTGATGACGTCTGCGGAAGTGACGAAGGCTTGTATAAGTGCGTGGCTAGGAACAGCGCCGGCAAGGCACACTGCTCAGCGGATTTGTTTGTATTGCGTAAGTAACTTTTGGCTAAAAACTTCAAAATATAACAGACGCTAAGATGACATGTAAAAATAGACAAAGTATTCACTGGATAGCATTTAGCTTATCTCAATTTCTGTTTGGTTTGAGTTCTTGAAAACTAGATCAGCTATGATTAGAGGTCATCACCTGTTCGGATCCGAAAGAGAGATGTGGGGAGGGGATGTTTTTCGTGTGTGTGTTTGTTCTTCAACTATATGGGAATGATTGTCGATTCTCTATCTATTCAGATATTGCATGAGCCTTTTATGTCTTTTAAAATCGTTCGTATCATATAAGCATTATCTTCACAAGCCAGCGAACGCAGGAAGATTTCTCCCTGTTGTTTTGTTGGCACTTGTTTCAAATTGTATAATTATAATTTTTGTTTTATTATTTTCTTTGTTACAGAAACAGAAGACGAGGAAAGTGAGTCTGCTGGTGAACCGGAATCGGAAGAAGAGAAGTAAGTGTCAGAAGGAATATTGCCAATTTGAGAAGCCTGTTTAAAAGTATTATTTCATAATGAGAGAATGGAAGAACAAAAAACGGAAGCGAAGTCTGTGATGTCTTATTTTATAGGACTCGAAACTCCAGGGAAGAGAACTATTTGTTTTGAAACAAAGAACATTACTTTGGAAAGAGCGCTTGAACGTCTCGAGAAAAAAAGTTTCGATTATAGGGCGAAATTCTGCCAAAGATGGTTGTAGAAATTGTATGATAACTAGTAAGGAAAATTTGGATGATCTTCGTATGATTTCAATTTTCAATTTTTGTTTTCGCTTTCAGGACAAAACCACCCGGGGATTCGAAGAAACCACTTCCAGTTATCGAGACGTCTATTGCCCCTGCAACTGCTCAAGTAGAGAAATCAGAGCCACCGCCGAAACCAGCGCCAAAACCTCAACCTAAAGCAGAACCAAAAGCCAAGCCTGAGCCTGCAAAACCAAAAGAACGCCTTCGAGAACCAGAGTTTATCCTCAAACTGCGAGACAGGTCAGCGGTTGAAGGAAGTTCGGTGCGCTTAGCATGCCGGGCGATGGGAACGCCGGAACCTGGGTTCCAGTGGTTCAAGGATGATAAGCCAATCAGCGCTGGAGGGCGGTTTGACATCAGCCAATCAGTGAGCGGGTTTACACTTGTAATAAAAGACTGTGAGGTAGAGGACGCGGGAGAATACAAATGCGAAGCCTCGAACAAGGCGGGCAGCGTCAGCACTGCGTGTAAAATCACTGTGACAGGTTAGATTTAGAGTTCAACTTTTATGTTGAAATATGTCACCAGTAAGAAAATCACATCCAACACAATGTTGAGGCAACCGATTGTCTTCTTTTCTGAACTGTGAAGGCAGTCTTCCTCCTCTTTCTCCGTCTCTATAATATGCCAAAAATCGTCGAAAATTTGGTTCGAGGGAAGGGTGGAAAGATTCTTTAACATGAACATAGCAGTCACTTTAAAGGAGCACAGTCATGGTATTTTGAATAATTTTGGCCACGCATATAACTACTGTTAAATTGAAGGAAACCTGAAAGTAATAGTTTACTAAGATTGAAAAACACTAAAGAGATAATGATAAACCATAAAGGAAGGATGATTAAGGATGGAGAAGATTGACAGATTACCGACGACGAACTTGAAAAATTTAGGCTAAACTTTTCAAGATGTGCTTGACAAGATTACGTGACAAACCACTAAAGAGAACTCTTTTTCAAACTTCAGGACTTTCCAAACCTCGTCAAGAGGTAACGGTCCGCCCAGACTTCGAGCAAAAGTTTACAGACACAACAGTCACGGACGGTGAGGAGGTGAAGTTGACAGTTAAGGTGTCCGGAACCCCTGTCCCGGATGTAGAATGGCAGAAAGGAGGCAAACCAATCAGAGATGGACGTCGAGTTAAGATTGACAAGAACAAAGATGGCGTGCATGTACTTCGTATTCCACGTGTAGAAACCGCTGACCAGGGAGAGTACTCTTGCATTGCTAAGAACAAAGCTGGAAAAGCTACTTGTTCTGCTAAGCTGACTGTTCAAGGTAGTTTCGGCTTCTTACGTGCTTTATGGCTGTCTCATTTATGGAAAGGATAGTAAATGACGTTTTGTGTTAGATATGTTATTTACAAGTGCAAGTTAAATTTTGTGTTCTCTCCCATTTCGATTCTGATTTAAATTAGTTCGTTGGCTCGTTCGTTCGTTCAGCGGTTTGGCAGTCTGTCTGTCTTTCTCACTGTCTGTCTGTCTGTCTATCCAATAATCAACGAACCTGTTGGTTTCATTGTTTTCTTGGCTTACTGCAACATTTGGGTTTGGTTAAGTTTTATGACCAATATGTGACTTATGTCTTTACCGCTTTGTTTCTTTGCAGCTCCTAAGCCAGAAATTAAGGAAGGTGTCATGTCGCTGTAAGTCAATTTACTTTTTAAATTTCCACTTTATAGGGTCAGGATTTAGGTCAAGCTGATTTTTTTTCCAGTGATTTCTTTCTACATCGTCAAGTTACCAGCTAATCACACTAATTACCTGTTGATATTTTCGACGTCTAGTCCTAAGATGCCAGTAGAAGAAACAGTGACACTGGCCACAGACATACCAGTGTCTCGTGCCCCTGACCTCGAAGATGGTCCCCCTGAGACTCCGCCCAAGTTCGTCCGCACCATGAAGAAAGCGGAAGTCATTGAAGGAAGCGCGGCAAAGTTTGATGTCAAACTCACCGGAAGCCCAGAACCGGAAGTACGATGGTTAAAGGATGATAAACCTCTTACGGAGGGCCGGAAGTTCCGGTTTGACGAAGATGATGACGGAGTGTTCTCTCTGTTTGTGAATGATGTGGTGGCTGATGACGAAGGAGTTTACAAATGTGAAGCGTCAAACATCAAAGGAGAGGTTTCTTGCACTGCAGTGCTTGAAGTAGAAGGTCAGTTGCTTTGTTGTTTCGGTTCTACGTAGCACAATGACTTGAAGGAGCTCAGTCACAGTATTTTAAGTTATTTTGGCCACGTACAAAATTACTGTTAAATTGAAGGAAACCTGAAAATAGTAGTTAAGTAAGATAAAAAAATACCCAAGGGATAATAATAAACAATAAAGGAACAAGGATGGTTAAGGATGGAGGAGATTAACAAGGATTACAAACGACGAACATTAAAAATTTAGGCCTTAACTCTTCAAGATGCGCAACCGTAACGTAACTCCTTTAAAGTAAAGAGCCCTACACTGTCAAAGGAAAATGTGCAATTTCCGGTCCTCCCTGATGAGGATTTGACCAAAAATTGAAGCCACGTGGATGATGTGTTCTCAAGGGATCTATGCCTCGGTTGGTGTCTTGAGAGCAAAAAAGCTCGTGAAGAGAGCTGTCATGACGCTAAGAGATTCTCTTTATTTTATTCAGGCCTCGAAGAGTCAACCGAGGAAGAAAGGGAAGAAACGTCCGAAGATGAGGTACCAGCAAAGAAAGAACCTCCTGCCAAGTAAGATATGGGTCTTATTTTCTTTAGATATCAGTGTTATTTCGTGTAGTTATGACTTCGATATTGCTGCTTTTGGGCCGTTTGTTCAGCAATTAATTTCCAGAAATTTACGCGGGGTTCTGTGTCTGCTTAGTTCTAGGATTGGTTCCAGAATTTGTCATAAAACCATCTTACTGATCAGAACATTACAACGTGCTTTTCATTAACCGATCAGTGGCAAAAGCAAAACCAAAATATTTTCCCCCTACCTCCACCGTTTTCACGCTTTTGCTTTGAATTGTGATTAGTTCGTGGCGTAATTTCCTTTTTTTTTTTCTTGTCATTGACTTATTTCAAATACTTAGATTTGGTTACTTTACCAAGGTCAATAAAAGACTCAGTTATAAATCTGTCCATATTCACTGCTTATTGTTTATTCTGTTTCCAGAGCACCCCCTCCAGCACCTAAACCGAAGCCTGCCGCGAAATCAGGTCAGTAATGAAAATGATCAAGTCCATTTTCTCTTTACAGTATTTATCCATTTTCCATAAAGTACCTAACGAGAATACAGCAGTTAGATCATTACCTGGAGGAAGTTGTCTTGATTCGTCGCAAAATTCTTAAAGATATCATAAAAGACAACAAAGTTTTAACTGATTTTCTTCGTAGCTCTTTCTCGCATCTGTTGCTCGAGTTTCTAAAATAGTTCAGTTTTGTGTGCCTGGTCTTGGGCTTAAAATATTACGACCTGACAAGGCTTTCCCAAATCTTTATATAAAGTGCGCTGAAAGCTGAGGTTTGTATCATTTCTTTACCCTCAGTTCCAAAACCGGTTTTCTCGTCGGAGCTTCAGGACAAACAAGTTAAAGAAAGCGACAACCTCACGCTAGACGTCCGAGTACCAGCCGAGTGCAAGGCCGAGGTCACGTGGTTCAAAGACGACCATGCTCTTAAAGAGGATCATCATATAACCATCATTTCCGCCGGTGAAATGCACGCTGTCAATATCTTCAACGTGACAGTCAAGGACGAGGCGGTGTACCGCTGTGTCGCTACGAATGCTGCGGGATCAGTTTCTACTGATTGTGAAGTTCTTGTCGAAGGTACGAGAAAGTTATTTTTGACTTCGTTCGGAAATGAAACTAGTTGTGGTAGAAAAAGAAATCATGAGAAATAACAGAAGGGTTGTTTGCTTTTATCTTTACAGAGAAAGTCAAAGTTCCTCAAACAGTCATGAACCGTGGGTAAGTACTTGTTGTTTTTGTGCTATTATTTTTGTTGTGGTTATTATTTTTTTTTTGAGGTATTCCTATTACATATTGATGCTGACTTAACTACACCTTATAAAATCTGTTTGATCACTAATGTGCATCAAATCGCTCAAATATTGAAAGCTGTTTTCATTTGCTGTTTCGGTGCGTGGTAAAAACCCTTGTGAACTGCACAATGACACCATAAGTAAAGCTGAAATTTCGAAGCGTGTTACCCCGTAAGTAATTTTTGTTGTTGTTGTTGCTGAGGTTGTGGAAACAACGAAAATACAAAACACACGGTGTAGATTTTGTATGGAGCAGTCCTTGTGCTTAAATGTCGTTGGTTATCACAGCAAATTCTTAGATTTGCCCGGAGCACTGTTGTGTTGCTTCGAACATGATCAGTAAGTTACTTTGGGCCACACTCCGTATACGGTCTTCCAAAAATTTAGAAGACCTGTGTACAACATTTGCTAACCCCTTCGCATTGGATTTAATTTTGCAGCCGTCTTTCTCAAATGGCACCGGAATTTGTTCAAGAATGCACCGACCTGAGTGTGGTGAAACATTCCACTGCACAGCTAGAAGTGATAGCCGCTGGCAGCCAACCACTGCAGATTCGCTGGTTCAAAGACGACGAGCCCATAAAGTACGGAAAACGCTTGAAAATGTCGTCCGACGGAGAGCATTGCTCGTTAAAGATTTCTCCGGTGGAAACTTCAGATCAGGGGATGTACAAATGCGTGATATCTAACAAGGCTGGGACACAGTCTTGCGAGGCAAAGATAACAGTAGAAGGTTAGTGCAAGTTTTCAGAGTTGTAACAGTGATGCAGCAAATTGCCTCCAAGTCATAGGAATATTTACCATACGGAGCTGCGTCACGGTTTGCACATCCTCAAAAGTTTAGCCTACATTTTTCAAGTTCGTCGTTTGTAATCCGTGTTGGTCTTCTCCATCCTTAACCATCCTTGTTCCTTCATCGTTTATTACTATCTCTTTGGTTTTTTTATATCTTAGGAATCTATTATTTTCAGGTTTCCTTCAATTTAAGGCAATTTTGTACGTGGCCAAAATGACTTAAAATACTCTGATTGAACTTCTTTAAATGTTTGACATTTTTCAGAATCAGTCGAAGTCGCCGAAAGTGCCGACGGCGCTACCCCAGGTTCTCCGGTCACGAAACTCCCGTCCAAGCAAAGAAGTGGTGCCAAGCCGACCATAGTGACTCCTCTGGAAAACATCGAAGTCAATGATGGCGAAAATGTCGCGTTGCAGGTAAACATTAAAAGAGTAGGTAACTTTCAAGTTGTTAGTTAAGGTGTTCTATCCTATCCTGTCTCTTCCCGAGAACTGGGAACTGTTCGCTGTTTTTAACCTTGCTCATTGCATATGCCAGGTTGTCTTTGAGGAGAGCAATTTTCTCATTGACGTACTGTTTTCTGTTTAGGTGACTTCCGGTCCAGAACCCATCGACAACATTGAATGGTTTAAGGACAATGACCTGATACGCTCACGTCCTCGATTCACGCAGTCTTCACAGGGCTCAGCACACAACCTCGACATTCAGGCAGTAACTTGTGACGACGAAGGCATCTATAAGTGCGTGTTGCTTAATAACTGGGGCATTGCGTCTTGTTCGGCTGAGGTGTTGGTAGAAGGTAGGTGATTCTTGGTTACGCTCGAGATACTCCTGACTATGTTTCATTCATATTCTGTCACTCTTTTTGAGATGAATGTTTTACATCCAGGTGCTTTTCTGAGATATTCACTTTCTTAAGAACTGCTTGACGCAGAGTGCTTATAGACTGGGGAAAAAGTCAACTGTTCAAGTTGAAAAGAGCTTTGTGTTCATATACTAAGCCGTGGTTGGAAACAGAGACGTCAAAATAACATTTTTACTAGTTTAAGTAATCACGAAACTAGCGACGCCGTTTCAGGTTGGAAAAGATTCAGATAGAACATGAAAGATTAACTTGAAAATTTAACCTCAATTTGCGTCACTGGAGACTTCCAAGCTACTAATGTTCTCCCACCGTAGTGATGTCTTAATGTATGTTGACGTAATTTCTTCAGTGTTGGCCATGCTCTATTGGGGTAAAGTCCTTGTTACGCTAAAGATGACTCTCCTTACCACACAGGGCTGTAAGCTTGCGACTGCCGATAAATAACAGCGTAGGAGTACCTACTTACGATTAGAGTCGAAATTCACAGAGCGTTTTCTTTTACTTCAGTGAGCAAAAGAATAATAGCCTTGTCGTTTGACTATTTTGTTTTTATTTTGTTTAAGAATCAATGTCAGAGTCTTCATCCCAAGATGAAGAACAACTCGAAAAGATGAATGCCCGGATGGAGCGCCGGAGATCACGTGACAGCGTCTGCGCGCCAGAGTTCCAACAAGAGCTTAGCAACCGTGACGTCAAAGCTGGGGACACTGTTTACTTCACCGTCAAAACAACGGGCATCCCGGAACCGGAAGTCACGTGGTACAAACATGGTGAGTTACTGAAGGAGGACTCGCGATTGAAGTTTATCAAAGATTCGCAGACTGGAAACTACTCACTGCTGATCAACAAAGCGACCGTGGAGGACCAGGGCGAGTATCGTTGCGTGGCGTCCAACATGGGAGGTTCAGTAGCTTGCCAAGCAAAACTCTCGGTTGAAGGTAAGGAAAATAATGATTATGGCGCTTGTAACAACTAATGCACGAGGAAGACGGACAGCCTGACTTGGCCAAATGGCTGTCTAGATGTTCAGTAGAATAGGCCATTTCCGAGTTGGCTTTTGCCTCTTTGTCAAAACAAACCATTCATCTGAAAATGAGTTCTGCCTACAGGTTCAGTCATTTTGATGTAAGTCAAACTCATTTTCATATGTAAGGTTTTTCACGAGGACTCGAGTCGTTTTGAAACAGAGGCACAAGGTAACTCGGAAATGGCCTATTCGGCATATCTGTGGATAAGTAGCAGAGTTAAGAGTTTTCGGGGAAATTTCTCCCAAAATTTGGCTGAAGGTAGTGTGTTTACAGTGGCCTGATTCTGATGTTCGTTGCATCGGAATAACGGACGAACATCGGAGAAAAACCGAACCTATGTTCGGAATCCGAGAAAGCTAGTAAACCCGAGCGTGCGCTGTTCCTTACCTGTAACAATCATTTTCATCCCAGCAGCGCTAAAAACTGAAGGAGGCGAAGCACCGTCATTCACGGCTCCGTTGAGAGATCGTTCCATCGAAGACGGTAGTGCAGCAAGGTTTGATATGCGCGTGCGCGGAAAGCCAACCCCGGCAGTCACGTGGTACAAAGGTGACGAAGAGATCACTGACGAACAGTTCCCGCATATCAAAGTTTTCCAAGAAGAAAACCTGTATTCCATTTTGATAACTGAAGGAAAGGTCGATGATGCTGGACAATACAAAGTGGTAGCTAAAAATGACCTTGGAGAGGTGTCTTCTACCTCAAATCTCTTTGTAGAAGGTGCGTAGTTAGAACATTTTTATTTTATTGGAGATCTATTGTGCGTATTGAGTAACTGTAACTTAGGATAGCAAGGGTAATAGACACACTGCTGTTAGACTCCCGGCATGGTGAATCGA